CTGTCCGCTGGTGACAGAAGAAACAAAAGTCAAAGATGAAGAGGAGAAGACAAGACGGATGGAAAATCTGAAGAAAAGGAGAGTTTGAAAGTGACTAACAGAAGAGACAAGAGAGAAACTTCAAAACAGTCCCAGAACAGCTGTGATTGATCATGAACTTATCTCAGAGAAATCCAGGACTGAGCCAAAGATCGGAGAGAGCCAGCTGTTGACCAGCGTTCAGCTGTTAGCTTATCAATATCATTAACTAATGGATAAGTGATTCTGATTGGACAAAACCCGATAATAACTGTAAATGACCTAATCACTCACTCACTATCAAACCCATTCACAGAATCAAGTCCAGCACATCTCACCTAAAAAAAAGGTTTGTTTCTCTATCTAAAGGTTTTTTTCGAACCCGTATCCTGTCAATACAAGCGTTCACATCAGCGACGTTTTCCCATCCTTCGATACTGCGGCATTTATTTTTTCGTATCACGGTCGATTTTTCTTTAAGTTTTGCATACTGTGTGCCCACTTCTGACCAATCAGATTGCGTGTTGTTACAACGTCTGATTCACTGGTATATCCAACATGGCCGACCGGCTGCTTGTTTACATGTCGGAGAACAGAGTGATTTTTGATAAAAAACACAAACATTACAAAGATAACGACCCGAAGGACGACTTGTGGAGAGTCATAGCATCGGATTTCTCATATGACGATGGTTTGTGTGTTTTGACAGTTTGATAAACGTCTTTGTTTTAACTTTCATCTGTGCTAAGTAACTTTAGCTCATAAGCTAACCTGTTCAGATGCAACATACCATATGTATTTACACTGTAAACTCAATCACAGCGTTGCTGTCACAGCACCATTAGGTCTCAGTTGTTACCTTACGTTTATGGATTATAGTTTAATGGTCTTATCTGGTACTGGCCCCGACTCAGTACATGCTATCATGACAGACAGACATCTCAACACTAGAGTCTAATCAGAACTGAAAACACTCAGTCTGCTGTTGGGTCAGTCTTCTCGCTTCCACCCGGGACGCGTCTTTCATGGAAAATCGCAAAATCGCATCAGGCTTGATGTGTACAGTCAGGTGCGTCAAAATTCGCCTCCAAATATTTCTTAATTTCGCGTTCTGTATTTGCGTCGGCCTCAGTGTGTAAGGACCTTAAGGCCGGTTTTGGGCACAGATGTGAGGTCTGCCTGAGGAGCTGCTGGACCCCAATTTTCTCTGAGAGGAAAGACTCAAATAAAAACCTGAAAAAAAATGGAAATAAAATGTTTATTAAAAATAAGTCAAAGTGAACAAACAGTTTTTTTTAAATCATAAAAATAAAGAAATCAAATTATCTGAAGAGGACATGCTCTCCTTTGGCTCCTGCATCGTTTTCACATTTTTTAAAGTTTTTATTTTTGTTATTATTCACGTCTCGAGTGTTTAGGTTCATATTTCATGTTCGATCAGTCATATTTCTGACACCGTCTGAAACATCTGGAAGTCATCCTCGCTCTCCCAGGCTCTCTGCATGTTCCTGTCAACCTGGTTCTCGGTCACATTCAGGTTTTCACTCTCGGTTTCTTCTCGCTGGTTTTGTTTTCTTCTATTTCAGGCTGTAATTAACACTTATTTTCTACATTCTTGGACTAAAACACAGAAACCCACTCCACTCCTTTCCAGTCCATTTCACCTGTTTCTAATCCAGCTCGCTTTCAAGGGTCGACTGACAGGACCGGAGCTTTTCTCATGCTGCTGGTTCTCATGTTTTGTTCAAAATGTTGGCAGGAGGTTAAGTACATGCATAAATACATAACAAACAGGCTGTAAGAGCTGAAGCTACGCACACATGTCCAACTCTGGACACTTCAAAGAGAGAGCACATCAGATCATCTAAAGGTCCAATCACAGCAGCTTTTAGAGAAGAGGACGTCCTCTTCTGACCAATGAAGGTAAACTCAATAACGTTTATATTTCACTGTCAAATTTCGGAAAGCAAAGACCGCTCTGACCACAGGGGGCGCCAAAACAGACCCAAACAAAGTTCCTCTTCAGCGACAGGAAGTTATTTTTTTCAATCTGGTCTTGTTTACTTATTGGACCATCAGAGGTAATCTAGTCCTGGATTTCCTGCAGGTATTGTGGTTTTGGATGAGGTCTGGACTATCAAAACACTATAAAATTGACCTCTCTCGGGTTCCCACGAATAAAATAAAAGCTTCATAAATCTGAAACTGAGTTCTGGAGAGACTTTAAATTTAAAGCCAGATCTGGAGTCTCGTGAGGTCTCGCCAATAAAAATCGCTGTGAACTCGACTTTTCTCGCACTTTCACAAATAGAATAAAGGTTTTACAAAGCTGGAGCTGTGCAGACTCTTTCAGATAATCTAGTCCAGATCTTAAGAATCTAGGTGCAGTGTTATTGGATCTGGATCTATTTGTAAAAACAAGAACTTAATGTGAAACTCTGCCGTGTTGTCCCTCAGCAGCAGCAGTAGCAGCTCGACCAATCTGCAGCTGAGAGGAAGATGACGAGACCATGAGGCTGAAGATTCCAGAGTGAGCAGGTAGGATTCAGTCTGTGTTCATGTCATAAAGAGAAAAGTCGTGTGCAGAAGCTTTCGTCCTCTTTAAAGCCTCCGCTCTTCACATGTCTTCCCTCGCTCTTCACTCTGCACTTTTCCTGTCTTTCTTCAGCCGTCCTGTCCAATAAAAGGCAAAAATGATCAAATTCAGAACTTTAAAAACTTGCAAAGTCTCAATGAAGGACTCCCTGAATAAATGCGATGATTCTTGGATGTGTAAATCCCTCTAACTCACCGTCATGTTGACTGTGAGCTCACACTGATATCCTGCAGACTGTTTCTCCCAGTTTCAGAGGAAAAGACTCGAACACACAGGGATGTTTTTAGGATATAAGATACCTGTACCCTCAAGACTAAGCCTGCTCTGAGACCTGATGTCATATTTTAAAATATGTCTGTGCATCGAGGAATGTCAGTGTCGTCACAGAAACCTGAGGGATGATTTTAGAACAAATATCAGCTTGAATCAGTGACGAAGAAAAGATGTTCATGGGACGATTTTCTTTCTCATTGCCGAGACACACGATCTGGTTAAAGTCCTGTAACTGCGAATTAACATTAACTATAAATTATTATAGTTTATTTTAGACCTTTTAACTTATTAATGACAAAAAAAATGTACAAACTGAACACGGTAAGTCTGAGTTAAACTGAGATTAACTTTTTATTTCAGTTATAACTCGTGTTTTTAAATCAGGAGCAAGTTTTCACAAATCTTTAGTGAGAAAAGTGTGTGATGTTTTCATATTTGAAATAAGTTATTGTTGAAAACACACAGACCAGGTTATGATTGATCATAATTCAATGTTTTGAACTCAGGTTTGCTGATCTAAAACGACGACTCTATCACTGACAGTCCCGGTGATTTTCCATTTGTTTTGTTCACTTTTGAATCTTGAATCTTCACGTTACATAACATGAAACTCTGTGAGGATTTATCTGTGTGCTGATAGTCCTGTGAGCGCCCCCTATCGACTGCAAGATGGATCAATAAATAACTTGAATTCCACTGAATTTGATAAAAATGTCATGTTGCACAAACGGGAAAAGAAAAGTTGCTCTAAAAATAAACACACCAAACGTCACAACAGCATCAGATAAAACAAGCTCTTTTATTATAATAATTCAGAGTTTTTGGCATTTATATATATATTTATTTATATATATATATATTTATATATAGGCTTATTTTACAATTGAGACGTTAACTTTGACACAAACGTTGCTTTAACATCAGTTTGTAAAAAAAGTGCTTCCTTTTTCCACGCTGACACCAATTATCATCATTAAACATCTTTCTCTGCAGAGCGACAACAAGCAGATCAGCAAGAGGTCAAAGGTCATCTCCGAGGATCAGAAGGCACTGTGTGTGTGTGTGTGTGTATGCATGTGTGTGTGCGTGTGTGTGTGTGTGAGTGAAAAAGAGGAAGAGACACGTTGCATAGAAACCCTTTTCACATTTTGTTTTAGTTTGTTTTCGTCTGTAAATCAGCAACACATGAAAGATTCTCGGATCATCTCTGTGCTTCATCTGACCACTAATAGTGCATATTAGGAGAAAAAAGAAAAGCTGCTCTCGCCTTTCTCGGAAAAAAACAAACACATCTCAAAGTCTGCAGGGTTAGCGAAGATTGAATCCTCTGCAGAAACGTCAATTTCAAACTATTAAAAATCATCAGAATCAGCCGGATGTTCGTTTTTCACACGAGAGCGACGTGAAGACGCAGGTACCACAGTTTCAATTCCAGTCATTATGATTGCTTTTAAATTATTATTCACTTTGGCAGATATGGTGAATAATTTATCACCTTAATGCAGGATAAATCATTTCTGCACATTATTAATATTTTGGGGGAACTGACAGAGAAGAGCTGCTTCTATCTGAGCAGGTGAGATGATGCACTTCATGGTGTCGTCATGCAAAACTTTGAGATGAACTGAATAATTTCTGCGAGGTTTTTGGTGCTGCAACCTTAAAATTTGTTTGAGTGCATGAAAAAAAAAATACAAGAACAGTGTCGGGGTCTTAAAGACGCTCAAACATTTGACCACATTTTGCAGCAAACTGAGATCCAGATCAGAGGATTCAAGATTCATGGAGCTTTTTTTGTGTGTAATCACAGCTGCACTGCTAATGCTGCTCTTCTTCTTCTTCTTCTTCTTCTTCTTCTTCTTCTTCTTCTTCTCATGGTGTCCTTCTACATCATCAGACACATTTGCAAAGAGTACCAGAGCTCATCCATGAAGAGAGGGAAATGAGCAAAAATCCATAAACATACATACACAGTTCAACCTAAACGCAAGCAGCGTGCACTTTGCATTTCGTAGCTCTATAGAGACACAGGAGGAGGAGAGGATATGGACATGTACAAAACCAAAATAATTACATGCACAACAGGCTGATTTGGGATCATCTCCACCATGCCCTACCTTAGCTGCACTGATATGTGAGTAGAGTGTGTGTGTCGTGCACACAGTGTGTACGAGAATAAGGCACAGAAACAACCAGTCCTCTGTTGTGTGGATCTGCAGGGGAACAACGAGCTTATCGGCTTTTGCACAAAAGTTTTCAAAGGCACATGAACACTGCAAAAAGGAAAAATACAGTCTGACCAAGTCAGTTCGTCTTTGACAAAGTCCACTAGAGTCTGAGTTTGTCCGAGGAGGGCGTGGAGGTGGATGAATTCACCTGTTTCCAGTTTAGAGAATGTTCCAGACTCAGGCGTCAGTGTCTGTCCAGGTTTTTTGATCTGAGAGTTTGTTTTTTTTCTGGAAAATTCCTGAAACACAGAATCTGACTGTGGCTGAAAAAGTTTATTATTTTCTAGAATAAAATCTGCCATGATCATAAAATGATGTTGAGTCTGCAGAGTGGTTGATTTTTCACTTTTCTCCAGATCATTTTCTTAAAACAGGAAATTAAAGTTTCAGACTCCGTGAAAGTCAAACTGATCTGTCAGCTGTTGGTTCAGTTTTGTTGTTTTGTTTGTTTTTTTGTTGTTTTTTTTTGCAGTGAACACATCAGCTGCCTGGCTCTCCTCTCAGCTCTCAGTCCGTCTGAACACCAGACCACAGGTCGAACCTTTCTGTGTGAATAAATCCAGCAGTGTACCAGTCCATCTCCAGTCTGGTCCCGGTCCGGTTCAGTAGTCTCTCAGCTGCCCATGGGTTTGAAGGATCCGTCCGGCAGCTGTCTGAAGATGCCCCGTAACGTGTCCAGCTCGCGGGTCAGGTGCTCCACCCTCCGCCTCAGTCTGTCGTTGTCGGTGGTCAGCTCCACCACCTTCTGCTGCGTCTCCATGTTGCGCATCTTGGCCTTGTCCCTGCTTTTACGCACGGCCACATTGTTGCGCTCGCGCCTCAGCCGGTACTCCGGGCTGCTTTTGTCGACGTGTTTCTTGGATTTCCCGCCGCCCCGCTGATGGTCCATCATCTTCATGCCGCCCTGCTGCGGGTGCTGGTGCGGGTGTGGGTGGTGGTGATGGTGCTGGTGCGGGCTGGGCACCGGGGTCGGCGGAGGGGTCGGGTGACCAGGCTGGAGATGCATGGTGGTCTGCGCGCAGTGCGCAATCTGGTACTGGAGGTGCGGCTGCTGCTGCTGCTGGGCATGCTGGGAATACTGCTGGGAATGCGGGTGGTGGTATGTTGGAGGCATACCCGGGTTCAGGTCCTCGTCGTCCCGGGGCTCCTGCTTGATGGCCACCGGTCTGATGCGCTGCGGGTTGTGCTCGTAGAGCGGCTCCAGCTTGGACTCCATGTAGTTGGACATGTAGAGCTGCTGGGGCCCCGGGCCGCACGGCACCGAGTCGTACTCCCCGTTCATGATCTTGAGCTTGTCCTGCCGAGAGCTGTGGTGGAACAGGTCGGCCAGAAAGTCGTCGTTGAAAGCTGAAGGGTCGATGTACGCGCTCAGGTCGATGGACGTCTCGTTGTCTCCGATCTCACCGCCGAGGTCTGTCGGGTCTCTGTAGCCGGAGGGAGGCTGCTGGCCATGGGTCAGACTGCTCATCAGGGGCCGGGGCGCGACCTCGTACAGGTTAGAGAGCTCCATGGAGAATCTAAACCCGGGCAAGCATGGCGAGGTGCTCCGGGAATCCAGTTTGGGGGGAAAGAGAGGGAAAGGTGTCCGGTCCTCAGGTGAGAGGGGGGGTCAGAGAGCTGCAGACATGCACCGGACGCTGCAGCGGAGCTCGTGAGAGTGTAACAGGTTTCACGTCTAATGCAGAGAGGGGCGCGTGCAGAGCTGGAGGCTGTGGGTCTGAATGCTCCTGCGCGCAGTAAACCGTGAGCTGTCAAACTGTGGGTTATATAGCAGGAGGAGGAGTGGGCGGGCACACACACACACACACACACACACACACACACACACACACACACACACACACACACACACACACACACACACACACACACACACACACACACACACACACTCCTGGATTTAACCCACTGTCAACAGAGACAGACTGAAATTAAATGTTAATTACTCTCAGTCTTCTTCTCCTTCAGCTCCTCTGAACGAACCTCGGACTTTTGTTCGGTTCTCATTCTGGACCAGATGCACAAAGACAAAGACAACTGTGAGACACTTTTCATGAGAGGATAATGCACCATTGGAAAAAAAATGAAATGCACAAAACGCCACTTTTGACAAATTTACTGAATTTACTGTTAAAGCTGCTCCGTCGTGGACCGTTAAAAGTTTTATTGCAGGATTTCACAGGATACCAACATGCAGTCAAACCACAGGGACCTTACACTGCTGTTATTGTGTTACAGAGACATGAGTCTGAGCCTGCGGGCTCTCAGACATTAAAATGACAGATTCATACAGAGTTTGGTCTTATCTTCCCAGAGGCGTCGATCAAACTCTGCAGGTTGTTGCATTTATGATCCTCGAAAAAAGACCGTGAATCACCGAGAAATGGAAAAATAAGAGGAATAATGAGTGATTGAAAATGTTCATATAAATTAACTACGACTGAATGAGTGGTTTATATCATTTCTGGAGATAAAAACTCATTTTTTTCTGCAGTAAAAGGTGAATTTGGTCAAATCTAAAAATTCACAGAAGCTTTTTAAAAACACTAAATGAACATTTTCTTCTTCTTTTTGTGTTTTTATGCATTAAAACTGGTCAGATCCGCAGATAGGAGAGGGGGTCTCTCAGCAGTATCAGGGGTAAGAAGGTTCACATCGGTGCTGTGAGGTGACTCAGTCTGAGCTGCAGAGACTCTGAACAAACGGACTGGAGCGCCCCCTGTCGGCTGAAAATAGCCACAACTGGCATGTGCTCATGTCTTTCTCTGACAGGGCCATTTGTTATTTTATTTACTCACTTTCTTACTTTTAATCCATGAGAGAGAAACATAAAAATCTTCAATTTTCTGATGTCTGAGTCCTGTAATAAAAGAGACACCCTTTCAAAATAAAAGCAGGTCCAAGCGTTCACTAAAGTCTGAAAATAATAAAGTCTGATTTTCTCTTTTTCTGTTGCATATCCTGGAGAGGACACTCTCAATCTCAAAGAGGTTTTTTTCTTCTGGTTTATAAAGATTGAATTTTTAAAAAAAAGGTCTGTTTTTAAAGGCAATAAGCTTTAAAAGGTTTCAGCAGGTTTCCTGATGTCCTGGAAAAGGTTTTTGGAGTCAGGAGGAGATTCGAGGGCTTATTAATGTCTTAAAGATTTAAAGGGTCCTTAATAAGGGTTAACCAATTATCAGCCCAGTAGATTATCAGGGTTGATAACCCTTTAGGCCAATTATCTGTGTTTTATTTTCTACATTTCTGCCTGTTGTTTTGCACCGTTTCGTCCTCAGCTTCACACATCTGAGCGAAAGAACAACACGAGCCAGAATCTGGAGAAACAGGGTGAACTTTAGAAAGTGGCACAAACTCTCACACACAGGATCTTAGAAGTGCTCCGTGATTTTCAGTTTTTTATTGATCCATCTTAATGCTCAAATTTCAGTTCTAATTCACGTGAACGGGTCTGGATTTAAAGCTCCTGTGAGAATATTTTCATCATTTTTAAAATAGACGCTGCTCTATGGTCTAAAAAAGAAAACAAGACCATCAGCGATGAGTCTGGCAACTCCTGTTATATTGTAAGAGAACACTTGCATCTTTGTCCACAGGGGGCGCCACAGTTAAGACAAACAGGAAGTTCATGAAAGAAGCTTTAACTACAACTTCGATTATAAAAAAAAGTCACAGAAAAGTCCTGTCAATCAGGGAAGTTCTGGTAGCAGGTGTTGACCCCTGGGGCCTTAAGGTGAACGATAATGTTTGGTCGGTAAGTTCTAAAAGTCCTCAAAGAGACTCGATTGGTCCTAGAGGAAGTTTTGGGTCTTCAGAGACTTAAGCTTGTGTTAAAAGAAAACTCAGAGGTCCTTGAGATTTCCCATCAATCCTTGAAGAGGTGGTGGTTGAAATGGGAGTTTTCTGAGTCACTGAGAAAGTTCAAGTGGAGGCCGGGGGACTTTTTAAGTTTCAGAATAATGTCCATGAGGACAGAGGGGTCTTCAGAAAACCCCTCAATGACTGAGGAGACTCATGAACCAGAGAAAGCACCTTTGGGAGGCTAAGCTCTCCTGTCCAGGTGAGTTTTTCTCCTCTGAGGGTGATTTATTTTGTGAATGATACTCGATTGGGTTTAGCACTCTCGATTCTCTCACTGTGAGAAGTAGAAACATGTTTTTATAGGAAATCTGCAGCAGCATTTATTTTTCTTTCTGTTTTCTTATGAGTCAGTGTGCAGAGACGGTCACACTGACCACAGAATTAAGGGAGTTCGTCACACGCAGTCAACTCTTTCGTTTTATCCGTCTCTGTTGGCTGGTAGCTAAGCTCAGCACAGATGGTGTTTGAGTGCATTAGCTTTAGCTAACATGAGCCGAGTCACTAAGGTCAACGTTAGCATGCTACAGAATTTATTTACGAACCACCATTTTATTTTACGGCATGATCACGAGCGAATGTGGGAGAAAAGCTGACGTAACGCGGCGCTGTTGCAGTTAACTCGCTCACTGTTTATCCAAGACGCTTTAGCAGCAAAGTGTCACGTGGTTCTTCAGGCGCCATCTGCTGGGTCATAAATGGTAATGCAATTAACGAGTCGAGTCAAAAACGAGTCTCTATACAGTGTATTATTTTGGCCATGTAAAGTAAATATTCCCTTCAAAGCTAGTTGTAGTATTTGTACCGTAGACTTAGACACCTCTTCAATCACGCTGACTTCCCCAAAATGAAAATAACTTTCAGTCTGATTTGGCTCTAAACAGGATTTGCATTATTTCGTTGTAAACTAAGTCATTAATGATCATAATTTGGGAATTTAGAAACAGCTGGTTTTGTGAGCATAGTATCAGATTTATTAGCAATATGTTAAGTATGACTCCTTTTTGCAGAACATCTTGTATATTTGTAGATGTTTCACAGGTAGATTTCCACAGCTCAACAAAAATGAAGGTTTTTATTATTAAGGGAGAAAAAAAATCCAAACCTACATGACCTTGTGTGAAAAAGTGATTCCCTCCCTGTTAAAACATAACTTTGGTTTATCACACCTGAGTTCAATGTAGTCACACCCAGGCCTGATTACTGTCACACCTGTTCTCAGTCAAGAAATCTCTTAAATAGGACCTGCCTGACAAAGTGGAGTAGACCGAAAGATCCTCAAAAACTAGACATCATTTCCAGAAGAAAGTCACTAAGATCTATCACCTTGGAAAAGGTTATGAAGCCATTTCTAAAGAGGTTTACAAAAGACACACAACAACATCCAAAGAACCGCAGACCTCACTTGCCTCAGTTAAAGTCAGTGTTCATGACTCCACCATAAGAAAGACAAAAACAGCCGTCAGAGCGAAAAGCGCAGCTGGACAAAAAGAATATTAAGGCTCTTAATGTTCTTGATGATTCCCAAGACCTCTGAGAAAACACTCTGTGGTCTAACGAGACAAAAGTTGAACTTTTCAGAAAAAGACCATCAAACCAACAGTTAAATATGGTGGTGGTAGTGTGATGGTCTGGGGCTGTTTTGCTGCTTCTGCACCTGGAAGACTTGCTGTGATAAATGGAACCATGAATTCTACTGTCTACCAAAAAATTCTGAAGGAGGATGTCCGTCCGTCTGTTCATGACCTCAAGTTAAAACGAACTCGGGTTCTGCAGCAGGACAATGATCCAAAACCCAACAGCAAGTCCACCTCTGAATGGTCAAATTAAAGTCCGGACCGGAATCCTATTGAGATGCTGTGGCCTGACCCTTAAAAAGGCGGTTAATGCTTGAAAACCCTCCAATGTGCAATCACTTTTTCACACGGGGTCATGTAGGTTTGGATTTTTTCCTCCCTTAATAATAAAAATCTTAATTTAAAAACTATATTTTGTCTTCAGTTGTGTTTTCTTTGACTAATATTTAAATCTATTTAATGATCTGAAACATTTAAGAGAGACAAACATGCAAAACAAAAATAAGAAATCAGGAAGGGGGAAAACACTTTTTCACACCACTGTATATAAGACCTTACAGATCTATATGTCAGGGTTTTTACTGCTACTGACTGGGAAATATTTCCTTTTGATATAGTCAGTATTTTATTTCCATGTTAACTCATGAGTCGTCTCAACTCCAAAGATTCAGACTTGGTAAAAAAACAAAACAAAAAGATGTATGACAAACAAAAAATCATCAGTTTACAACACCTACTGCGTAAAGCTGCCCCTCATGGCTCAGGTGTGCAGGTCACACAGGTGTAAAGGCTTTTGCTCAGGTAATATTTTTTCAGAAAATGGAAAAGGTTTGCAGTGTTACCTACAGATTTAAAAAGCCAAAATATCCCAAACTTTTATAAACTAACTCTGAGTATTTTTCTTCTGATTTGCATCTGTGTTTTCATGATCCTCCTCTAAATGTGTAAACCTTAATCAAACCTTTACTGAATATTCATATATTATATACTTATCGCTCTATCCTCCTCTCTGAGAGGCAGCCAAAGTCCTGGAGAAGATTTAGAACAAAGAAAGGCGAGATAGAAATGATTGAGTTCCTCAGAGCTGAAAGAGAGAGAGAGAGAAAAACAGGCTTTAATTTGAAACAGGACGTGGACGTATCGGTCATCATTTCTCCTCCAGTATAAAAAAATTGTGCAGAAAACTGCTCTGTCAGCCTCGGTACAGGCTGTTCTCCATACTGTCCGTTCAGAGGTAGTTTGACTTGGCACACAGTCAGTGTCTGACTCAGACTGAGCGTGTTGACCTTTGACCCCTCTGAGCACACAGCAGAGTGTTCGTACTGAATCCACTCACTATTTGCTCTTCTTTCTTCCATCAATCTCATCTTGTAATCTTCCACGAGTAACACAGATGTGATAGTCGTAAAGTTTTAAAAACAACCAAGATGATTTCAATCACAAATTTGAGTCTTTCTTCGTCAACTTCAGACTGCTGGACACTTTTTAAACCAGAAAGAAGACACTTAAGTTTGATTTTACACAGACAAATAATGACGAAGTATGTACAGATGAGACCAAAATAGAGTGTGTAGTTTTAGAAACTGATAAACACCAGAGAATTCTGTTACTGGATTAAAGAGGAGTACAGTGAAGAACTGAGTTTCAAGTTTTTAGAGAGTTTCTTTAAGAAACTGGAATAGCGGTGTCCCAGATATGTACTAGTTAATATTCAAAGAGCAGCAGCTGCCTCGAGTGTGTCAATCAATATAGTAATAGCTGTGTGGATGAATAAAAAGTTGTCTCTGTATCGTAAAGGTTTCAGGGAAAGATCTCAAAGAAGAAAGAATAACTAAGAGAAATCTAAATTATTACCACACTTTCACTCCTGGTGCTGCTCCAGGATATGTCTGCGTGTCAAAGATGAAAATGAAAGGCTTTCCTATCATTATTTAATTCAATAGTTTTATTTTTTAGCGTCTTTTTGTTGAGCCTCACTTTTCCTTTTATTCCAGTCAGTGAAAATGTTTTGTTTTCTCTAAGAACTATTGTAAAACTCTGAGAAAGTTCTGACTGAAACACTGCCTTAAATAGACTAATTTTATTACTGGAACTTGGCGGTGGGATTAATTTATCCATTCTGAGGAACTAATTAGAGTTTCAGGATAATATACTAGTGTTCTGTTTAACTGTTTAGTTGTCAGAAAACTGTCACAACCAGCACAGCCCAGCTGACAAAGTCCTGGTTCTCCAGATTTTACACTCCAGGCCAGAATATGAGTAACTTGAGAGCTGCTATCAAAGGCTCTGTTGCCCTTGTCTGGATTGCAGGACGAGCTCTTATTACAGTATTGGCCTGCTAATCTAACACGCTAATGAAAAACGACATTTGTGTCACAGTGTGCCACAACTTTTCTCTACAGACCAATCTGATCTGATTTGAGTTTGATCTGGCTGTCCCTCGTTTTGCTTCTGCTATTCTGAATTTATTACAAGTGTTAAAAGGTTTTGATTGATCACTGTGGGAGCTCGGAGCTGTTCAGACCAAAACTGCTTTCTAAACCAGGCTCAAAATGTGTTTATTTTTGCTCTAAGACAGGCTTTCATGGTGTGTCTGTGATTTCTTGTGCTTCTACAGACAGCTTCAGGTGGACACTTGAGGAACTGCGGTTTTTAGCACTTCTGCTTCAGTTTCATTTCTCAAAACTTGAAGCTGGTACTCCACAGTTAAAGTTAAGTTTATTTTAGTCTGCACCGACCTTTTCTCTTCTCAATAGAAAACACGGCAGCCTCAAAACAATGCCGTTAAAACCGATGAAAGATGTGCTTTTCCTCTTGTGGGGCGTATAAACCTCACGTCTGAGAAAGCTGTTCTCTGTGAAATGAAAGTGGTAGGTTTCTCCTGCGAGCGTGTCCTGACACGATTTGAACTGAGGCGAAAACAAAATACCCCCAGATGAAAAAAAAAAAGGAAATCAAAACCAAAACCCGATACCTCTGAGGGAGAGAAACTTCAGGGAAGATCCTCCTCTACCAGGAATTTAAGGTAAATATTTCACCTCATTTACATCCTTTAACAAGTTCTATTTGTTGTGTTATCATGAAGTAAAGCAGATGTTGATAATGAAATTATCCATCTGGGGGTGTATTTACAAATGATGTCTGATGTAACATTTCAACCATGCCTGTTTTACAGCTGTTGTTGTCTTAAAATAAGGTTAACTCTTAGTTCAAAGTGGGTGTATTGTAAAGGTCATTTCTTTATCAGTGATGGTGTATATGTGTTATAAATATGTGATAGTTTCATTGTGGTTAAAAAACGTCAGTCCGAGATGAAGTCATGCCTGTATGAACTCATTTGACCAACCTCAGATTACATAAACAAAATCAACAGAGCACGCCTCACTCTATTGGCCGGACAGGACGTCAATCATCAGAGGCATTGCATCACTTTGCACCACACTCACCCGCGATTGGCCAGCCACTCGCTTTGCCGCCTCCTTCTCTTCTCTGATTGGCTGATCCCTGACATTGCCGTACATGGTAAAAGAGATTTCGCAATCCTCTCCTCTCCATGTTCCAAACAAAAACACTCAGAGCTCACACAGACGGGATTTAACTTCAACTTTCTGCGGTTACTTTTCAAACTTTGACGGATGGTCGATTCGAACACCGCCCCGTGAAGGTGAGCTATGTTTTAAAGTCTTAGTAGAGCCGGAAAGAAAGAGCTAATAGTGCGGTTATTGCCTGTTAGCAGTCGATGCTAACTAGCTGGCTAGCTGCCCGGCTAAACAGAACAGAGAGGGTGTTTGTTCCGAGTTTGTTTAAAGCTTAAATCAGACAAAATCAGCTTTTAAATTCGAAACATGAAGAATTTATACTGTAGTGTTTAACTGTTGTCGACTATGAGTGAGCTAAAAGTTGTTAAAAGTGTTCTCAGATAAAATATTCACCGTTTAAGAGCGACTAACACAGCTCTGTCGAACATTTCTAATCGTCTGCCCGGTACTTTTATTCTGTGAAACTTAATTTTGGTCTTAAAAAACTAAGATTTATGCTTAGCCCCGCATGACTTCGGAGTTCCCCTCTTTCGGCACAAAGAGAGGCGGTGATGATGCAACAGCAGGCAACAGTCGGAGCTCTGCTGGTTTTCACCCGGAGCGCTTTTCCCTGCGCACAGCTGACTGGCTGCATGGCAACGCGCCGGCCAATCAGAGCAGAGCTACTAATTGGCCGTACAGAATAGTAATCCCGACCAATTATCATGTCAGGAGCCCGCTGCTCTTCATGGATACCAGGGAGGAGGAGGAGAGTGTTCATGTTTAGAGGTAGAAGAAGAAGAAGCGGAGGAGGAGGTGAAGCTCCTGATTGATGGATTGAGGTCAGCTGAGAATCTGCAGGATGACTGCAGATGAAAAATATGAGGAGATGTTGAGGCTTTTACACGTCTGAGAAAAATACACACAGCTGGAGAGTCCACAGATGGAGGTGTTATGTTCATTTATGTGCTTCTAATTAACCCCAGAACACTATTGTTAAAATTAGTAACACCATCAATTTCGAAGGGTGATTTTTACCTGAAATAATAAACCCAAGATAAAGTACTGGTCATCAAAATATATAAAAATAGGACAAAACATGACAAATTAGACAAACAAACAAACATGACAAACAAAATAACTGAAATCAGGCATTTAGGAACAAAAAATGACTATTTGGAGTAAAAATGACCTGCACACTAAATTATTTTATATCACGAGGGCCCGACTGATTTATTGGTGAGCCAATTAAATCAGCCAATTTGAGCTCGTTTGAGACTAATCGATAATCGACCAAAACGCGCAGATTTTCGCCAATATTCGGTTTCACATTTTGAAAATGTTCCACCACTTAAGGTCCTTACACACCGGGGCAGACGTGAATTTAGAACGCGAGTCCCGCCTCGTTCACCTTTGATTGGCTAGAAAAGCTGAAAACATCATTACACGCTTAAGCCAAATGGTCAGCACTTACAGCCAATCAGAGGTGATAAGATAACTTGAAACTATGGTAACAACCGTTAGCATACATTAGCACAGATGAAAGTTAAAACAAAGACGTTTAGCAAACTGTTAAAGCACACAAAAAAACACTTGTAAACGCTTTTCTGGTCCGAGTTTGATCAGTCCGTAAATCGGCTGATTAATCTGTGATCAGACCCCCCCAATAATCGGTATCGGCAAAAAATCCATATCGGTCAGGCCCTACTTATCACCATATAAGTTGCCTTGAAAATCACGACTTTGATGTGTTACTTACTAGCTGGGATGTCAGAGACATCAACCATGCAACAGGATCACAGCTGCAGTTGAAGAAGGGAGGGTAAATATGGCGTCCTGAATGTTGTCAGCCTAGAAAATCACCTGCATTTATACACTATCACTATTGGTGGGTGAAAATCACCCTGTGAACACGTGCCTGTAGGAAAAAGCAGGTTTTGGATCAGGGAAACAAAGATGTCAAAGGAACCCATGATACTCAGACAAACACAACATCGTGAAAATCACCTAAACATGTTTGATCGGGTGAAAATTACCTGACAATAGTGTTCTAGGGTCAAGGGGATTTTTTTACTTTTTACTACAGAATCAATTCAATTAAAATACCTACAAAAGTTTATCTTTTTAACTAGAATATGGTAGACACCTGAATCGTGAAGATAATTGATATTTCTACTGGTAAATAAGCACCTTTTTCATGTCCTTTCTAACCAAATCCACCATCCCAGGATCATCATGGATGATGTAACCGATGAAAATCAGACCTTTCCTGTCAGAGCGGTGACGAACAATCAGGAGGAATGTAATTGTTAAAGCTGCAGTGTCTGTTTTCATATCTGGGCATTAGGGCCTGTGTCCATCAGTCAGTACCTGTACATACCGATTTAGACCGGACAACTGAAGTGCATGTAAACACCTTAAACCGACTAAGTTTGAGAACTCCAGTTAAGACACCCAGATAAAGCGATTGGAATTCGATTTTCTCTACCATGTAACCAGCGGAGTCGGAGTATAATCAGACAGTGCATGTTCGCATGCGCTACGCCCCGTAACCACGCAACAAAAACACCTGAGATGAGGAGTAGCATGCGTCTCATCTGCAGAAAAAGTAGCGCGTCCATCATGTAGGAGAAAAACAACGCTGTACGATGCTCCATCTTCTTGCTCCAAAATGTCCTACAGCAGTTGTAGACACTTCTGACGTCTGACACTGAGTTCATATCGCCCTCTAGTTTTGGGGAGGAGGACACGTTCACGCCAGGAAACGTTAATTCAGTAACGCTCAGTTAATATGTATTCATGCATAGTTGTCAGTTTACAGCTTAGTCAGTTTAATTGGATTACTTTTCTGGTCCCAGGTGAGAATTCATTGATTGGGAAAGGTATGGTTGCCTCAGCCATGATTGGACTTTGTTTTGGTCGACCGATTGCGTCACATTTCAAAACAACTGAGAAAAGTTTAGGAGAGGTCGACAGTTAAACAGTAAACACGGACAAATCTGAAGCTCAGCACTTTTTTAACAGGTAGAATCTGAAAAATCTGAATCCTTTAATCTCTCTTAATCTTTTGTTGAGATTCTGTTAACAACCCTGTAAGGCCGACATTAACTTTAAACTAATATAGAACATGACGTGTGACCGTTTGGATATGATGGCCTCTTCTCTTGACTCCTCTGCTGTAAAAAAGAGGATCATTCAAGGTTGAACATTTGTCAGTGGTGTTCCCTTCTCCGCCGCCACCCCAGGTGGGTGGGTGGTAAACCATCAGATGAGCCGCAGGTTTGATGAGTAAGACGGCTGCTGTACAAAGTTAACACACCACAGCCCTCGATCCCAAAATACGTCCCTCAGGTGTTCTGATCCTCAGTACAGCTTTAATTGACTACTAGGTTTAGATTGAGCAGGTTACAATGAGAGCGCCCCCTGCTGGATCAGTTCAAACACACATTATTATGAGTTTGAATGGCTCATTTTAGTTTCATATATTTAGACGCTAGACTCCTCGATTCTCTGGTTTCTAGATTGATCATCAGTTCCTGCGTGATTTTTGTTGTTGTTGTTGTTGTTGTTGTTGTTGTTAACCCCCTCGATTTAAGTTTGTGTCTACGACCACCAGTGCAAAAGGAGCTGTAGGTGGACACAGACCCTGGAGCTGTAAGGATTGACTCATAGTTACTGTCGGTGTTCTGTGACAGTCTGAGCTGTATTTGCTTCTCAGGATCACTCACAGATGAAGACAGGAAGTGATGATAAAAGTAAACGGTTCATCAAGTTTGTCTCATCTACAGTTTCGTCATTGGAAAACACCGCCCAGATTGTTCAGATGATAAACAAAAATTACTGATTAGAAAATCTGACACAGTTTGACCTTTAGTTTGTTTTACTCCGTTGGTCAGTGCTAGAAAATAGGAATCATTGAATTCTACTTTATTTTTCTTATAAAACACGAGAAACACTGAGTTCTGTTTGGTTCACTGCATCCATATTGATGTGTTTAGTTTTTTTAAGTCATCGCTCTGTCTCTCTGATAACCTGCAGACTAATCGATAATAAACAAAGTGTTCGCCTCAGTGTATCAGCAGAGTCGTGGAAAAATGTCTCTGGATGTCTGACTGATGTTGTCGTTCCTCTCCAGGCTCCTCTGTGGTGAAGAATCCAAACTCTGCTTCCTTTAACCGATTCATCTCTACACCTGGGGAGACTCGGAGATCAGTACTTGCAGGCAGCACATCCAAATGAGCCGGCCGTCGCAGGCGAAATTAAACACAACTGACCACAACGGCGTGAGCGTCATCCAGAGTCAGGCCCACGCCTCCGCTTCGTCTTCGTCCCTTCCAGCGGCGGTAGCCGGATTGCAGCAAGTCCCTCAACTCATCCCAGCCGATCCTTCAGCCGGAGGTGGAAAAGCCCTCCCACCCAGCAAGATGAAGAAGCCTCCCGCAGACAAGGACAGCGAGGAGTACCGCCAGCGGCGCGAACGGAACAACCTGGCGGTGAAGAAGAGCCGCATGCGCAGTAAGCAGAAGGCGATGGACACTCAGCAGCGCGTCAACGAGCTGAAGGAGGAGAACGAGCGGCTGGAGGCCAAGATCAAACTGCTGAGCAAAGAGCTGAGCGTGCTCAAAGACCTCTTCCTGGAGCACGCCCACAACCTGGCTGACAACGTCCAGCCGCCAACAGGCGCTGAGGGCGCCAGCCCCGCCGCCAACAATCCCTCCGCCAATGGGCAGTGAGGAAGCGGGGCGACATGAACGCTTCTATTTAAGGATCCGGCTGCAGCTTTTTAAAAAACTTCTATCACATGGAGACACATCTTCTTCTTCTTCACTGCGTTTCTTTCTTCTTAAAGCTAAAAACCCTCCTCTCCTCCCCTCGCCAAAACCTCCATCAGAGTTCCCACAATCCTCCTGGATAGTTTTCTCCCTCTGCAGAAGTTTAAGGGGGTCAGACAGTCCCACTATCACAGTTTTGTATGTTTTTTGATTCGGTCAGTCCATCCCTCCAAAGTGTTTTTAAGAAGTCCCGTTTGTATCTCTGAGGTTTTAAACTGAGTCTCATTCAGAGATCGTCCAATCAGGACAGACTGTCATCGTAGGAGGAGCCGAGCATGTGATCGACGAACGATTGTGATGATCCTACGAACTGAGACGCCGTCCGTCATTCAGGATTCACTCCGAGTGAATAGGAGGAACTGGAGCAGCCGGCGTCTGTAGGAACCAGAACACTTGTGTCCTGTTTCCTCTTCCTGTCGGACAGGCTGGATGTTTGACTCGTTGACTGCGGCGCAGCAGCAGCAGCTTCAGGATATCCGTGTAAATGAATGAATTTCCCTTTTTTAGGATGTGTATTTTTTTCTTCTGTTATTCTACAAAGAGTTTTTAAAAATGTCGAGTTATGAAACCTGTCGAGAGAGTTTTTGTAAATTCACTACATGTTGATGTTTCGAGGACAGTTCTGGTTTTTCTGAACTCCAGCCGTCACTGAATTGATTTTAAGAGTCGGGATCAAAACTGAGAAACATGTTTGTTTTTCAAGGTGTCAGAAAACCCAGAACTGTCCTCGACAGCTGATTGTTTTTGAATCAAGTACTTTAATGTTTGTGTCTGAGTCAGCGGGTTTAAGGTGGACTTTAGTGTCACAGTCTGGGTCCCGGCTGGGGTCGGATGAATCTGTACAGACACAGGCTGCACTGTCAGGTACTGAGCTACCGTCTAAAATCAGTTCAGACTTTTTTTCAAAGTGATTCATCTGCTTTAAAACGCGCTAAATTCCTCTGTTGGTTTTCAGTCTAAAAAAAAATCAAAGATGTAAAAACAGAAAATCGATTATTTGTCAATCTGTGATAATGTTGAGAAATGTTCGGCCAGACTTTTCAGACATAAGCTGGAGAACTGAGGCTACGTCAGTTTGAGTTTGGAGTTAATGATTCCCCCCAGTCCCACCGCCCGTCACCTCCACCTGCCGCTCCCTCTCAGTCCAGACAGGTGGAGGTGTTTGTGGTGGGGGTCAGACTCAGACTCCTCACATGTGTCAGACACTTACAGGCGAGCTGCAGCTTGAGATAAATCCACTTTTTAAACCCAGACGGGGTCTTTAATCAGCCCTTAATGGGTTTGGAGCAGATCTGGATAGGGGCCCACACCCCTTCAGCAGGCCGCAGAGAGGGGCGTGGCCTCTCGCCTGTGTTGTTGTCAGACTTCATAATTATGTGAGCTTTGTGCGGGCGTGGAGTGTTTGCCTACGAGGAGCTTCACCTCCCTGCAGGAATGTCGTCGCTCTGAGTAATGTTGCTCCAGCGCCGCTCAGCATTCCCACAACACCACAAACAACCTCCCGACAGCACGCCTAAAACATGACCAGAGAGTTCCCACAATGTTTCATCAGGCTGACTCTGTAGTCCAGCTCTGACTCTGGAGTCCAGCTCTGACTAAGTCACAAACTGTTAGAGCCTGGATGTGACCTGATCCAGACTTCAGTGTTTTTATAGCTCTGTCTTTAGTTTGATGTTCATGTTCAACTGTATGATCCTCTAACTGGACTGCACTTAAAAGTTAGCATCTCTAAATACTACATTACCCAGAAGCCTCAGCTACGGACCTCAGTCACCCTGCATCCATAGTCTTCCCATATGTCCTTGTGGTGCGTTTTATTCAGATGTTGGAGATACAAACAACATTGTTGTTCAGCCATAGTTTCATCTTTACCAGGTGATAACAAGCAACACTGAAGTGAGAAAGCAACATCAACAAAACCCTCAATGTAATGAATTTAATTACACAAAACAAGCCCAAGTCGTAAAAACACATATAAAAGTGCAGCTTTTACATTTGTTGGTCTTTGTTTTAGAGCCCAAAGTTACTGTAACCCTGCAGAGTTTCTGTGTCAGAGTTCATGTTTTATTACGCTAAAACCTGGATTAGTTCCTCCACATGGACGACTTGAAACTGTTGGGACGATATTAGTTTTTATTATCATGATCTCACCAATATAAATCCAGTTTTCTCCAAATTGTTTGATGAAACTTTTGGGAATTTTCAGGTCGTTCTTTTAGCACCAGGGACATGTTACTGTGATTGTTTCAGTGTCACATGAGTCTGACAGCGAGTGGTCGAAGCTGCTGAGTGCTGTACATAGACAGAGGGACGCAGCAGCTTCATGTGCATCAAAACATGGAGAAGTCCTTCAACTGAAGTGACTGTTTGGGTCAAAACAGAAACTTTCGGAGTCCAAAAACAAAAAGTTATTTGGTGAAAAAACAGTCTGAGGTAGATGAGTTTCAAATCCTTTAAGAAACGTCCTCATGTTGTGGTGTTGTGGTAACGCTGATCTGCTGTCTGAGCCGCAGGCCTGCTCCTTTTACACTTTTCTATTGTTGTTTTTTCTACAGTGAAAAATTCCAAAAAGCAGCATGTTTATAGAGAAGTCTTTGCATGATAGAGGGACGGGGAGGGGCACTGTATGTGTGTGTGTGTGTGTGTGTGTGTGTGCGTGTGCGCGTCTGCTTAATGTTCAAACTGCACTCAGAGAAAAGAGTCGTGTTTGTGGAGTGAATCAGGAAACAGATTGTTGTGGTGTTGGGATGTTTGTCGTGTTGGGTCTGCTTCGGTCTGAATGTTGCTGGGCAGCATTTCTCTGTCGTCAGTCTGTCGGCTTTTTTATATCAGAGGAATCTGGGCTAACGTGCATTCTAAATTAAAATTCAGTATAAAAGTTCACCTCCTGTTTCGGGTTTCTTTTTTTTATCCAGTTTATGTTTTTTATGAATGTTCCTGAATCCTGGTGACTCAGTCTCACCTGTAGGACAAGTTCAGCGCTGTCTCGTCTCTCACTTCTGCAGGTCATTGCTCTTCAAGAAGGTAAGGGTCAAAGGTCACAGGCTAACTCAGCTGTTTAACCCCCTAAGGCCTGACTTTAAATATCTTTGAGTCATCTCCTGAACGATCTGGAGGTCAGTTCTTGTAAATCTGAGAACTGGGGGCTGTCAGAGCGTCAAATCAGATAAGATCCTCTGATGACTTCAAATCAAACAGAGCGAGCTGGATGTGACCTTGACGAGCAGCGACGGACTGACACTATGATGGTGAATGATTGACACGATGACATCATCGTCTCTCACTTCTGCAGGTCATTGCTCTTTCAGGGAGTGCTGGCGAGGAGTGAAACGTCTCTGCCTGACACAGAACCAGTCCTCCCACCTCCTCCGCCTCCTCCTCCTTCTTCTTCTATTGTTCTACATAATTACAGCGCTGCGTCAGTGTCTAAAAATAAACCTGAACATCAGCTTTATTTAGAGCAGCTCACAGGTTAAATCGCCCAGATTAGACTTAATCTGAAAATGAGCAAAAGAGACGACGACGACGCACGTTTCTGTCTGCAGGTGAAGATCGACTGCTTCGTACTCAGAGACAAAAACAGTTCCTGCTTTAGGTTCCTGAATGAGATCAACTGGATCCATTTAGGTCCACAACAGGACCCTGCAACCGCTCGACTCTCACTGCTCGTCAGACCTACAAAAGCAAAGAGAGGACAGAGAAGGCAGAGCACAGGTGACAAACCTGTTTGGGGGAGGCAGAGCGTGCAGGTAAGGCTGTGGAAGAGAGGAAAGGGTCTGAAGGGGGCAGTTATGAAGAGGATAAGGTAACCATACGTCCTCTTTTACCCGGACATGTCCTCTTTTTGGGGGCTGTTCGGCTTTGTCCAGGTGAAGTGTATAAAATCCTTCAAATGTCCGGGGTTTTATAAGCAAGTTTTGAGTTTGTGTAGCTTCGACTAACCATAGACTGTATAAAGAATGAACGCTGTCTGCCTCCTCGCTGGGTGAAGCCACTTAGAGAGCAGCTCCCTCTGTTGATTGGCTGCAGTATAGGTCATAAATCCCGCCTCCGCCAGCAAAGCTTATGGAGCTGTGGACAAACTTTATAAATTTATTACAGAATATAAATATTTCTCCCTCCTGGTTTTGATGTTGACATGTAGTTACTGTCAGACTGGTTTGTGTCCAAGTCCTCTTTTTTCTGTACAGCTCCGTTTTTAAAAGTTATTAGGGGGTTCATGTTTTCTATGATTGCCACATGATACAGCCTATTGGCGTTCAGGGATTGCGTAGCTCACCCGGAGGATACGCTGTTTGAGCCGAGTGTCATCACAGCGACTCTTGGCGACTCTCCCACCAAATGCGTACAACGCTACTGCGCAGCGCTGGTTTCAGGAAATAGAGAAAAATCCTGGAAATACAGAGAGCTTTTCTGGCTTCAAATCCGTATACAGGCGGGACGCGGAACCGAGTTGTCCGTAGTATATACAGTCTATGGGAATAACTGAGATAGAAGTATAAAAACACTTGACCCAACCCCAAAACACCCTCAAAATTTTGCGTGCAACTCCACCCCACGTTGTAGTGTCCTCTTTTTAGGGTTTGAGAATATAGATACCCTGGAAAAGGAGGACTGGAAGGGTAGAGGTAAAGTTTTTGTAGATGAAGTCGATTATTTACTTATTTTTGGATGAAATCTGCCTCCAGAAGAATACATTTATTAAAACGACCCTGAAGGTGTTCTCCAAGAAGAAGCTGAAAAGTTTCCGAGCAGGTGACTGACAGAAATAATCATTATTTACCTTCACGTCTCCCTTCAGCACCACCGTTGATTCCTCCACTCTGATTGGTTCCTGATAGTGCTTTTTGGCTCTTACAGTAATAATACACCCTCCTTCCTCCCTTCATCCACCAGTACCTGGGGGAGAAGAGGTCAGGCTGAGGGCGTGCGAGGCTGTTTCTATCCAGGAGAGAGAGAGAGAGAGTGCTTTTGGACTGTGAATGTAAACTGTTATTAATGTTCTGCTAACGTCCAGCATCGAGGAGTTTATCAGGAACATTATTCAGCTCAGAGGAGTGTGTGTTTCTGACCATCTTTAATCTTTTCCTCTGCAGAACTTTATCAAGAGTTTGGAGGCTTCGTGTAAACAGATTCTGATGTTCTGCAAATCACATCAAACTCAGATTTGATTGAAAATTGTGCACAGACGTGAAGTGAAATGTTAAAATGTTTGTGTTGTATCACAGATCTTCGCCTGGACCTCAGACCTTCTTCCTGGAAGTCATGGATACTGCATTAAAAATCAGTCAGCTCGTTTTCACTCGGTCGTTAAGTCTCTAATAAATTCACAGAGCCGACGGTTTGATGCAGATTCCTCTGGTTTAAGTGTTGTGTGTATTTGCTGTTTTGACTGTGGTGTGTGTGAATCTGTGTGTGGACAGTGAAACAGAGCTGTAGTCAACTCTCTCTCTCTCTCTCTCTCTTCCCACGATGCCTCGCTCTCTCTTCCTCTCCAGATGGGGAGACATGAAAACGTTGAAACTTCAAACATAAAATTGAGCGATGGCCTCGCGCTCCATCGCCAAGATACGTTTGTTTAAAATGCACCTCCTCCGAGAATCTGGCACACGGTTCACACAGAAACATCTGGAAAACATGTTCTCCATTTGTTTCCCTTCTTCTTCTTCTGTGTTTTACAGAGTGAAGCCTCCGAACGCCTGTCAGCGTAGAGAATGAAAGACATGAATCCACCGACGCCATATTTAACCGAAGAGGAGCGGGACAGTAACCTTTAAAACATTCAAATACAAACTTCTGTTTACCGTATGTGTCAGAAGATTTAACACTTTTAACACCCTGGAGTGTGTATCTGAGAGGAAGTACAACACAAGCATGCAGCTTGAGATGTAGTGTGTTCCTATAATGTATGATGTTATGTAATGTACTGGCAGGAGCAGTTCCAGGGTCTGAAGGAGGGCCGCTCAGCCGACTATTTGACACCTAAAATATTAATAAAAGCACAAAAACCTTAAAGATATTTTAAAAAAAAAGTCAAACTATGAGCTTATTCGCAAACATTAAACCCGAGAGATGATGTAACACTGTCGAGTCTGACTCCCAGCAGAACAAAATATGAGTAAGGTAGACTTTAAAACGGGTCTTCTGACCTCAGAGCTCTTCATAGTCAGGAACCATCTGACCATTTTGAAGAGCTCCTACTTCCCTATTATTCTTTAATGTCCACAAAAACCCTGATAATGAGACTCGGCGTCCATGAAAACTCTGAAAATGAGACTCAATATTCACAGAACCCTAATAATAGGACTCAGTATCCCCTAAAAGCCTCATCATGAGACTCAGCGTCCATGAAAACCCTGATAATGAGACTTAATATCTACGAAAACCCTGATAATGAGTCATCACGGTTCCTTTTTATCAAAGCTCATAGTTAGTGCTGGTTCAGGTCTGGGCCAGCTCTGCTTCAGGTTTAGACCTGGCTTCATTGAGCACCTTTCCCTCCATCTCCATCCTCACTCTGTCTCTGACTTTAAATCCTCATGTCCCATCATAGTCACCGTCTTGTCTGAGAGTCCCTGAACTCCATCATGGACTCCCTCAAACCAAAGTGACCCTGCTTCTTCTTCTTCTTCTTCTGCTGAACACTGGCGGGAAGACGTCCATATGTTAACACATGAGAGCGACAGATTTTTAATATTTCACTCATACCACCAAACACAGGAGATTCAGTCAAGATGCAGGACCGCACACTTGGTTGTTTGTTTGTTTGTTTGTTTGTTTGGATCTCACAGAAACTTATGTGATAAAATTTGACTTCAGAGAAACATTCACAGAGACGGTCGGTCTGTTTGAGGAGTGAAGTTTCTCTCTGTGAGCTGAAGGTGAAAGAAAGTTTGAAAGAAGTCTCTCTGTATGTGTGTGTGTGTGTGTGTGTGTGTGTGTGTGTATGTGTGTGTGTGTGTGTGTGTGTGTGTGTGTGTGTCAGGGCTTACTGGGAGGAAACCAGTATTTAATTTTTTGAACCAGTAGTGAGGATTAATCTGCTCCCTGAAGACCTGATCCAGATGGATCCAATCAGACGCCCCCGAGAGACCGACCAGCAGAGAGACATCATTTTTACTCCTACTTCTTCTTCTTCTTCTACTGTTCGGCCTTTTTTCTTCTTCCTTTTTTTCTATCTTGTCATTTTTCTTTTCCTCTGGATCTCCACTGTAGATGTCCTGCTGCTGTGGACCAGTCTGCTTCTCATCTGCTCTAACTTGAAACATCAGTGTCAGTGTTTTTACCAAAGCTAATGCTGAGGTTGTGGGAGATGACGGTCTAACATCAGTCTGGTTCTGCTCGAGGTTTCTGCCTGTAAAAGGAAGTTCTTCTTTTCCACTGTAACTTCATAAATACTGCACAGAGTTTTGTTCATGATGGATTTTTGCTCTTTTTCTTCTTTTTCAAAGAGGGTTAAAGTATCGACTTCCTGGACGTGACGCCTTGAACCAGTAAACATCGGCACTTTCGGCTAACTTCCTGTGATGTCACTTCCCTGTGTGGATCATCCCTCTAGCAATATTTTTTTTTCGTACGATGGTAGGGGAAGGTCCCACTTCCTTCACCTCTAACTGGCTGTGAAACATCATCGAACATCGAACAGAACACTATCGCACTTCTGAATCTCCTAACCCTAACCCTAACCCTAACCGTAGCTCTAACCCAACAGACGATGACGTTTCACAGCCATAAAGAATAACCAATCGGAGCTCAGCACTAGCCAATCAGAGGCGAAGGAGGGCGGGACCTTCCCTACCATCCTACAAAAAAAAAAATCCTATGTCCCTCTAACACGGATCACTGCAAACACTCCGTCCTCCTGAGGTGTGCTCCCTCTCTCTTCCTCTATTTCTTCGGTTTAAACTTTTACTGCTTCTTGCCTCACTGTTTCTCTTCTCATCGCCGTGGTAACTGCGCCGTGTGGCCGTCCCTGCCAATCATCATCCAGGTTTAAGGAGTTCAGGATGCTCGGGGGGATTCTGCCTCCCTCAGTGTGTCTGTGTGTGTGTGTGTGTGTGTGAGACTGTGCTGTACTCACTCTGCACATCCAGATTTCAGCTCCACTGACTCCAGTTTGTTCACTTCTGTGACGATAACTGGCCGTGTGGTAATCAATCACCGCGATTTTTAGTTTATTTATTGTTTATAAACCTCGGCCAATCAGTGACGGCTGAAATCAAACTAAATCAGACGGTGATTTGTTTAACTTTGAGCTCAAACTTGTTAGAGGGGAAATTACATTTTGATATTCATGTTTCCGTGTTTAAACTGATTTTTCCTCTTCGGTTCGTCTGTTTCTGATTAATAAGATTTAAATACAGGCCGATGCAGCTCAACAACAACAAAAAACTGATGTAACAGGATCAGACAGGCTTTATTTAAGTTGCAGCTGGAACTCATAATTATATAAAAATGAATCAGCTCCTTAAAAGTGAAGCTACGACATCTGGAGCTCCCTCTGCTGGCGGTCTGAAGTACAGGTCATAAAAGGAATTTTGGTCCAACGACAAAGACGAAAACTTAAGGTCCTTTCACACCGGGACCGTTTTTATCGTGTGATTATTTTAGACGTCAGTATTTTGTTTTTTTCAAACCCGTATCCTGTCAATACAAACGTTCACATCAGCGACGTTTTCCCGTCCTGCTAAATTGGGGCATTTATTTTTTCGGATCACAGTCGATTTTTCTGAAGTTTCACATACTGTGTGTCCACTTCTGACCAATCAGATTTCATGTTGTTGCGACATCAGATTTTGATTGTTTACATGTCGGAGAACAGAGTAATTTTTAATAAAAGACACAAACATTACAAAGATAACAACCTGAAGGACGACTTGTGGAGAGTCATAGCGTCGGATTTCTCATATGACGACGTTTTGTGAGCTTTAACAGTTTTCTAAACGTCATTGTTTTAACTTTCATCTGTGCTAACGTAAGCTAACGGTTGTTACCATAGTTTCATGTTCTTATCTAATCGTCTCTGATTGGCTATAATTGCTGACCGTTTGGCTTGAGCGTGTGATGACGTTTCCAGCTTTTCTAGCCAATCAGAGGCGAAGGAGTCTTCCCGGGAAAAGTCTTCCCCGGGATGCAAAATCACATCGGTGCACATAGACAGGCGCATCAAAATTCGCCTCTGAATATTTCGTAATTTCACGTTCTATATTTGCGTCGGCCCCGGTGTGTAAGGACCTTAAATCTGAATGAGCTGCAGAAGTTAACTCTGCATTATATCAGCAGCTGATGTAACAACAGCTAACAGATGATATTAGGCTGAATCAGGACCTAGCACAGATGCTAACAGCGTTTTCTCTAAAGACGCAACTTCGAAGAGGCTCTGTGACTTAAAAACTTGGTGAAAAGTTTAAAATCTTTAGTTTCTTCAGGTGAGACGTCTGTACCGGCTGAGGGATTAAAACAGATTTTTCGTCAGAGTGTCAGAGTCAAATCTGGTCTAAACTTGGAGTCTATGCTGGAAAAGTATTAAACTGGTTAATGTGGTTCATCAAACCACCGATCTATCAGTCTGTAATTCTGAGTTTTTACTGTCAGCTCAAACACTGACACACTAAAGCTGATGAAACTAAAGCAAACATGATTTTCACGTGAAAACTTAGAGGAACACAAAGTTTTACAGTTTATCCTGAGGGGGACATAAATGACTGAAGCACATGTTTTTACAATCCATCCAACAGCTGCTGAGATACAGACAGATATCTCCATCGCTAACCCTGAAAAAACAGCTAAAATAATGCTGATATCTGCAGTTTCCTCCTGATAAATGGATCATTTTTCTCTCTGCATGTTGTCAGGTAAAAATGCTGCTCTTAATCACTCACAGTCGGTTATCAGAAATGTTTCTGGGTGGTTTATTTTGCGTGTGACTAACCGTGTAAAGGTCCAGATTATCCTCAGAACAGCTCATTTCTTTAATCGATATCTCGTTTGAATGTGTTTGGAGAGCGAGCTCAGATTGACGGTTCCACGGCTTCAGCCAGCCTCTGTTGGTGGAGCACACAGGAACCTCCTCAGGCTCTGAGGAGGATGTGTTTTCTGAGGAAGGGGAGGCCCAAGGTGAAGCTGTTTATAAAACCTATCGATCAAGAAGCCACAGCTCGCAGAGGAGCTGTCAGACTTCCAGATATCTGTTAGCAATCAGGAACCAAATGATTGACAAGTTCAGGCTTCGCTTGTCAGGAAGAATTAGACGCGCAGAACGGAGCGGAGCAGGAATAACGCCTTCTGTGTTCCTGATTCATGGCGGAGGTTGATAACGTCACTGGGAGCTTGGCAGCGCTGCTCTCCACACCGCTGATTTATTCCAGGTTTCACAACTCATAAACAAGATAAACGCTCGATGCGGGGCTGATCTGAATGTCAATGAGCTAAAATGATGGGAATGTTCTCCCGTGCCGAGCGAGATACTGGAGACATGTGCAGTTCATATCCTCTCACCTCTCTGACCTGAGCTGGAGCTGAGGCTGAAGATACTGCTGCAGAGTGTCCGCCGGACCTCCACGAAAAACATGACAATGAGACTCAATGTTTATTAAAAAACCCTGATAATGAGACTCAACGTCCCCCGAAAACCTGATAATGAGACTCAGAGTCCATGAAAAACCCTGATGAAGAGAATCTGAGTCTATGAAAAACCCTGACAATGAGACTCAACATCCACGAAAAACCTAATGATGAGACTCAGAGGCCATGAAAACCCTGATAATGAGACTTAACCTCACTGAAAACCTGACAATGAGACTCAACTTCCATGAAAAACCTGATAATGTGACTCAGCGTCCATGAAAACCCTGATAATGTGACTCAAGATCGATTAAAATCCTGACAATGAGACTTAACATCCTTAAAAAACCTGAGAACGAGACCCAACATCTCCAAAAAACCCTGACAATGAGAGTTAGAGTCCATGAAAATCCTGACATCCACACTCAACATCCATAAAAACCCTGATAATGAGACTCAGCATCCACTAGCGTCCTTTCTTGAAGACCTCTGTCCACTAAAGCTTCCTCTCTGGGATTTGATGTCCACCAAAACCCGACTCATTAGACTTAACATCCACCTGAGGTCTCAGACACTGTTTTGACGGTTTTTGTGGGTTTTTTTTCATTATTTTTTCGTCTTTTATTGACGTGTTTTGTTCTTTTTGGTCCTTTTTTATTCCTGAGGTCCTTCTGTGTCTCTGTGATTTCTCTGCCGACCTCTTTGGGTGTCTTGAGTCTGTTTCAGATGCTTTTGTGATCTCTTTGTTATAATTATCTATTTCTAATAAGTTAGTCATTGTTACTTTTTTGTTTTGTGTTTCTTTGTGTTTGGTTTATGAATCTTATTCTTGCATCTCTCTGTAGCTTTTAACAATACTGCACCTGAATATATAAACTTCATACTTCCCTGCTGTGTGTGGCTCCATTAGAGGTTGAGTATCATGTATATTATTAACAGTATTCACTGGAGGACGGCCTTGATTTTGAGCCTCGTTCCATCAAACTGCAGCATTAAACAGACTTTCTGTGTTTTCTGTAAGTCAGAGGATCCTGCAGGAACATGGAGCTGAACCAGAGGCCTCTGCTGTTTCTCATCTCTGCTCCTCAGAGGAGGAAACATGACCTGGAAACTCTCCCTGAGAGCTGGACAACAACCGAGACCATAAACCCCTCAGCACGCTCAGTGTGTTTGCAGGAGTGTGTATCCCTGCTTCTCTGTGTGTGTGTGTGTTTATGTTTATGTGTGTGAAATGAAGCGTCAGATTTTAGACCCCAGAGTCCAATATCCTTTTTTTGTGTTTAATATTCTCTGAAGCAGACATCATCGTCACTCCGAGTGTGATCCAGTCCAAATCAAATCAGCGTGTGTTTTCTTTTGAAAGGACGCATTAATTTGTTCCCTCAGTGGGATTCCCTCAGCTCGGAGCCCAGTCTCACTGTAAATCTAATTTATTAAACTCATAAGGTGTAACTAAATGAATCCAGCTACGCTTCCTTCCTCCTCAGTCCTCTGGGACCTGGATTAGCTAATCTGAGATAAATTGGCCAATAAGTGGCCAGTGTTCGACTTCAGTCAATAAAATCATTATTTAATCTCCAGCGAGCCACGTGTGGCAGCAGCGCTCACTGAAAGACTCTCTGAACTCGCCCAGCTCCCAGAAAACAGGCTTCAATGTTATCTGTGCCGTTTGATCCCAACTTCACATTAATGAAGAGCGGCTGAAATGAGCTGCAGCGTGTTTTCACCAGTTAAAGTTGGACGAGAAGTTTGAAACTACTGAACGCTCTGAACTGTAAATAAGAAGCTACAGAGAGACTGAAAACAGGGGAAAACATCCAGGACTGAAGGAAATCCACCTTGAGGAGCCCCTAAAGCTCACAGATCAGCTGTTCTGAGTTAAATCTCACAGTTTTGAGTTAAAAAAACAAAAATGTTGTGTGTAAATCTAGTAGGTTTTCTTTCACGCTATGATTCAGATTTGCAGGATTTTGTTCTGCATGTTTTTACCGTCTTTTATGGATTTCATGTGCGGTTTTAATTTTAGTTTTTTCTTTGCATAGGTTACGTTTTAATTTGAAAGAGCTTGAGTTTGTATCATGTTACTTCCTACCTGTCTTGTGCCTTGGTTTCCTGCATCTCTGAAGATTTCTTTCTTTTCAAC